ACGCTACGCGGAAGTCTTAATACGAAACGTCCTAGAGACACTTGAACCTGGAGTGCTCTGATACGAACTGTGATACCCCTCGGATCCGAGACACGGGTTGATCAGGCCCAGGCCCAAACCCGAGGGAATATCAAACAATTAAAGTATTTTAAAGTGAACACAGATAACAAAATGAAACAAAAGTGATGGAATAAAACTGAAAGTAACATTAATTATAAAATCCTCCATGTATAATTGAAAATTTAAAATCCAATCTACCAAAACTTCAAGGTTACAACTTGGGAATCCACTGATGGACCCCTAACCAAAAGTTCAACTGAAACTGAAAACTGAAAATAAATAATGCTAGAAATATCGAGAGAAGTCCTACGTAATCAGATGAAGGTGAGACGGTCCTCGACAAGCACGATCAAGCTCTAAGGCAGGAACCGGCCTGTACCTGAAAAGAATAATAAAGGAGTGGGTCAGACCCACGAGCAAGTTCTAATCTAACTGCAATCCATACAGTGACCCGATACGCAGATACACCGTAGACACCTCACAATATCTATCTAGTCCATACGTATAAATATATCCACATTAAGGGACATTCACCAGTCTATAATAGGGGTCTCAACCTGAATAGAAGGCAACATGCGAATACGCACCCAAAGGTGGGCACGAGTACCTAGACCTAACAGGGTACACCTCAACCTATTATAACTAGCTACGCATCCACTGCATATACGCACCCTAACCAACGAGTCTGAGACTCAAACTCAACTCGTGGTACCATAACCATATATATAAAGTCCATCCAAATCCAGGGTATGCAGTTCAACTATTTATTAAACTGTCATACAATAAACCAATTAGTTAGTCATTCAACTTATTCAGTTGATATGACTTAACTACCATCCGTTAATCCAGGAAGTCATCCAACTTGTTTACAGCTGATCTGACTTAGCCACAATTAGGATTCGATATCTTTCAATCCATTCCATTAATCCATTAGGTTAGGTTTATGCGTTTTGAGCTAAACCGTCCCTAGTATGTCACCGTCCCATACCGGTACATACCATCCTCCATATCCATGTAAATTATAACATATATAACAGTTCAATAATTTACAGACCAAAAACTCCCATCCAAACAATTGCAGAAAACTATTTAAAGCTTCAGCAATTTAAATCCAAGCATTTAACCATATAGTTGCAGGAGACGATTTAACAAATCAACAACTAACATCCAGAGCATGCATAGACCAAATTTAATATGTCAGGGACTCCATCATGCATGTGAATAGGTTAAATAATCCTATTATTAACCAATAAATTGCTAAAACAATTCAGAAGATTGTTTAAATATTTCAGCAGTTTAAATCCAAGCATTAACCATATAGTTGCAGTAAACAATTTAATAATTTAGCAACTAGTCTCCTAAGCATGCATAGATCAAAATTAATAATTAAATGACCTTATCATGCACTTGAATGCATTCTAAAACAAGTTTTATAAACACATTATGTTCCATCCAATTGCTGAATTTTAATTCAGCAATTTATTCAACTTCCATTTGTTAAGTGCCTTAATTTTTACACTGTTTGTCCCGACAACTTAGAATTAAACTTTACTCAATTTAGGGTCTTAATAACACTCAAAATCCATTCCTTGATCCCTCTGTAAAGTTCCAGATTCATTCAAACAGTCTCCATGCTCCAACAATGAACATAGTATGTAGAAAATTAAAAAACCCGTAAAATAAATCAAAATAACAAGGGAGCCTGCTCCAGAATTTGGAGCAGGCTCTTTTCCAGCCTAGAGCCAGCTCTAGGACTCCCTAGAGCCGGCTCCACTTTGTTGTGGGAGCCGGCTCCCACTTCTATGGAGCCGGCTCTCACCTCCTTTGGAGCCATCGTCCCCGGTGCGTCGTTTCAGCTCTTGTGCTCATTCTCCGGCTTATTCCTAACCCTCTGTTTGTTTTTAAAACCAAACTTAGGTGTCCTATTAATACCCAGTAGCATCCCAATGGCTTGATAATAACAATTAAAAACAATTACAGAGACTAAATTTGCTACCAAACTAACCTGCGTTAGGAACCAAACCGAAATTATAATTCTATTCCAACCTCTCTGTTTCTCTTCACAAACTGATCTTAGGAGTCTTATAACATCCCATTAACATCCCTAGGGTTTGTTTACAGAAGATAGAGGCAAGAATCATAACCAAAACTCAACAGATTTTTAATATGTTTTAATGAACAGAACAGGAAGCAACAATACACGAACTATAAACAGATTTGGATTCCATGCAAACAAATCATCAACAAGCATGCATTGAACACATAAGTTTCATTTACTAATTAGTTAATCCCTAGAGACTATCTAGGTGCACAGAACACGAGCCAAAGGGAAGGAGAAAGAGAAGAACTTGCCTGTGATTTCAATTATGAAATCCCTGTGTCGTCTCTAAGTTTTCCTGCAATTCTGAACGCCGCCAAGCTTCCTATAACTCTGTCTCTAATCCTTACTCAACCTCCTTGGTCCTCTCTATACAAATCCTCTTAAGCCTCACTCCGTTTTCCCACAACTGCTCTCTGTTTTTCTCTCTCTGTATCTCACGGTCTCTGTTGTTTTTACAGAAATTCCGGTTAATTATTCTCAAACCCTAAACCACTGTGACACACATACTTATAGGCTTAGTGATTAAACCCTAATCCATGTAACCTTAAGCCAAAGCCCATCTCGGCCCATAAACCGACCTAAGATAAATACCTACGTCGGCCACCTATGTAATTGCAACCCTAAATTTAATTGTAACTTAAAACAGAATTAAATGAAAAAAAATATAATTAAATAATTAAATCCACTTAACTAATTAATTCCAATTAAATAACCCAATTAAATAACTAAAAACACTTAAACAATAAACGCCAATTAAAGAAAAAAAACAAATAACTTAAATCAATTTAAAACACATGACACATAGGTAAACAATTAAATAAAATAATTAAACCAAATAATCATGCAAAAATACAATAAAAATAATAAATAAATGCCGAGACTATCCTTTTAAAATTAGGGGTATTACAATCACCGTTTCCGCCGCCGAGGCTAAAATTTTGGACGAGGTCCAAGCCAAATACCCCTAGACCTTTGGGGATCTTGAAGGGATGTTGCCTTTGTTCCTGGACTTTGCTTATAAAACCACATGCGAGTTGGTAATCGGCCTTCGAGAAGCCCGAGATCTTACCTTGGCCAAGAAAGATTTTGATTCCCTCGACCGTCTCCTTACTAATTTGGGCCAAGCGTAGATCGACGTAGGCTGGGCCCGCGACATCCTTTTGCGGATTAAGGCTTTGGGGGAACGTGATAGAATGGTAGAAGAAATAAAAGACCTTCGCGATCAGGTCATCAAAGAGGAAGGAGTGTTATATAATGAAAAGATCCGCTTGGCCGATTTATAGGAGAAGGTGGAGTCGAGAGAACAGCACATTGCTTCTTTAAAGGATGAGATCGAGTGCAGGTCATCTCAACTTGGTCCTGCTATTTTAGTTTTAGGTGATTTGCCCTGATATTGTAACACCTTGTACCAAGGTATTCTTAGTATCAATTTATGTAATCTGTACTTTGAAAAATATGACGATCTTTTACTAATAGAACAGTTTTTTTATTATTATCGTCCATCTTTTCTCTTATGGAAATGTTATAAATGACATTTACAAGTTATTAAGTGAATCAGAAATCATACGCGGCTTTTGGCCGAGGCCAGGCGATACCATGGTTGCTACAAGTAATCTTTTCCAAAGTTATAACCCAGAGGCCTTCACAAATGATCAGTGTTTTTCTTGCATGACCTCTACCAGAGATAGGTCCAACCAGGAATTTAAAAAGGAGAAACATGCCAGTCATTAAAAAAAAACTAGAGTAAAGCGCAGGGCCCCTCGAGCCTTTCTTAACATCTTACACGAGTTCTTGTATACAATAACAGTGCCTTGAATGGGGCTTTCAAATTAGGAATAATATTTTTTCAACCATTTGGCATTGAATGTGCCCAATATCTTTTTGCTTCCAATCCTTCCAATGTCGTAATACCCACTAGAGCTGGCAGCCCTTACCTCGAAGGGACCCTCCCACTTTGGTGTGAACTTTGGTGCAGACGAGTTCCGCATCACATGTGTCACAGTCTTTAGAACCAGGTCGCCCTCTTGAAATGCTCGAGGTCTAACGGTGGCATTGTAGGCCCGAGCCACCCTCCTTTGGTAAACCACCATTTTGCTTTTCGGCTGCTCCCTCTACTCCTGAAGCCCCTTGAGCTCCCCGATCCGATGGTCGAACTGTAGCTGGCTCCGTTCGGCTAGACTTCCGGAAGGAACTGCTATTTCGACCAGGGTCACCGTTTCTGTTCCATACACCAGAGAGAAAGGCGTTGCGCCAATAGCTCCTCTTGTTGAGGTACGGTATGCCCAAAGTGCGAGTGGCAGCTGCTCGACCCACTTGTCATGCTGCTCCTTCAATGTTCAACTCAAGATTCGAATCAGTATCTTATTGGTGGCCTCTGCTTGCCCGTTGCCTTTCGGATAATAGGGCGTCGATTTACGGTGAGCCACCCGATACCTTTGGAGAAGCGCACGGACTCGACTATTGATGAAGGGTATCCCATTGTCTGAAACAATGACTCGAGGTATGCCGAAAAGGCATATAATATTTTTTTTGATGAAGTTTGCCACTACCTGCCCGGTTGCCGTTGACAGGGCTATCGCCTCGACCCACTTAGTGTAGACCTCCGTTGCTACTAATATCCACTTCATTTTTTTGGACTTGGGTGAGATTGGTCCTATCAAATCCATAGTCCAGGTGTGGAATGGCCAAGGCGCGTCTGTGGGATGCAGTTCCACAGTTGGGGCGTGGATGGCATTGTTGTGGGTTGGCATTCTCGGCACTTTTGGGCGTAGTCTTTACTGTCAGCTTGCAGAGTAGGCCAATAATAGCCCAGTTGTATAATCCGATTGTACAATTTCTTTCACCCTTGGTGTTCATCATTGTGAGCTTGCTTCAAAACTTCACGAGCTTCGGCCAAATTGACGCACCGTTTGGCTTTACCATCAAAGCCTTGCCTCATTAGTTCGTCGCTGCAAATGAAGAATCGGCTTGCCTCTCTTCTGAGTAGAGCAGCCTCTCCAGGCTCCTTTAGGAGCGACCGGTTTTCGAGATACTCTACGTACTTGCGCCTCCAGTCTTCCTCGACATTGGCCACATCTTGGTTCCCTTCGAACAGCTCTTGGCAATTGCGACATGCTTTCTAAATAGCCGCTGCCTCCTTTGCTATCGTCGGCCAATAGTATCCCTATTTTTGTATTCTTCGGTATAAGCTTAACGAATTGTCACCACATGTGTGCCCGTGAATTTCACCCAACACTTTACTAGCTTCCTTCCTTCCGACACACCTTGCCAGAGTTCCTCCGGGTGCCCTGAAATACAACACCCCCAGATACACTGTAAAATTTTTAAGTTCCACCAAAGGGATATCGCCCACACCACCCTTCAGCTGCGACTTGTAAGGGTCTCGCCAATCCTTATCCTCAGAGTTCGCAAATTGTACGTTGTACAGACATGACTCATTCTTTCTGTGAATACAGATATCTACTGATTCCCCTGTGATCTCGACTTTGGATGCCAAAGTGGCCAAAGCGTCCGGATGCCGATTAGCAGTCCTCGGCGCGTGGGTTTTTTGAAGTTCACTAAAATAGCCACTGAGTTTCTGGATGATGGTTCTGTATGCGGCCAAGGCCGGTTCCTTGATAGCATAAGAGCCATCTAGTTATTTTACCACCAAGTTTGAATCTCCTTGCACATGCAACCGCTTGATTTTAGCTTCTCGTGCTGCCAGGAAGCCCAGCACCAGAGCTTCATATTCTACTGTGTTATTGGAACATCCGAAGGTGAGCTTGTATGAAAGATTCTGGGCTTGCCCCGTTTCAGGGGTCAATACTACTCTTGCGCCGCCTCCCGTAGAGGTCGATGATTCATCAAATGACAGCGTCCAAATCATGTTTTCATCCGCACAACAAATTGAATCGAACTCGTCGAGAGGAAGGTCATCGTGCACCGGCTCGAAATTCCTGGAAGGGAATTGGGCTATCAGATCAACCATGGCCTGACTTAGAATAACACGAGGTGCTAGGCATTGGATATCGAACTCGGCCAACGCCAAAAGCCACCGCGCGACTCGCCCCGAAATGATCGGTCGCGAGAGCAGGTATCTCAGCGAGTCACATTTGGTGATGAGATGAATGGTATGGGCTAAGAAATAATGGCGGAATTTCTTGGCCGCAAACGCGAGGAAGAGGCAATGGCGCTCTATCGGGGAATAGCGTGCCTCGACACCTTGCACAACTCGGCTGATATAATACACAGGGCGCTCTTGACCATCCTTTTCCTGGGCGAGAAGCGCTCCAATGGAGCGTTCTGTCGAGGTTATGTAAAGTCTGAGGGGGATCCCAATTCGAGGGGCTACCATGGTGGTTGGCGAGGAGAGCAGTCCTCTGAGACGATTGAGAACTTGTTGATGCTTCTCACTCCATCTGAACTCAGATCTTTCTTTCATCAAAGCGCCAAAAGCATGAGTCACTTTGGCAAGTGCCGGTATGAAGCGTCGTAAATACGAAACCTGCCCTACCAAACTCTTTAGTTGCTTGAGGGATTGTGGCGGAGGCATTTCTATGATAACTCGAGCTTTGCTTTACTCGATGTTAATCTCTTGACGATGCACTATGAAGCCCAAGAAACGGCCAGCCTCGACCCCAAAGGTACATTTCAGCGGATTCATCCTTAACTTGAACTTCCGACATATTTCGAAGATACTTCTCAAATTAGCCAAATGTTCACTTCGAACTCGGGATTTCACTACCAGATCATCCACATCGTCCTCCATCTGTCTGTGTAACATGTCGTGAAAGATAGCTGTCATGGCCCGCTGGTAAGTGGCTCATGCGTTCTTCAAGCCGAAGGGCATGACTATAAAATAGAAGTTCCCCATGGGGGTGCGGAATGTTGTTTTCTCTGCATCGCACTTCTTATTTGATTATATCCACTGTATCCATCCATGAACGAGAACATCTCATGCCCTGAGGTCGAGTCTATCAACTTGTCAATTATAGGCAGCGGAAAATCATCTTTAGGATATGCCTTATTTAGATCTCTAAAATCTACATAAACTCTGATTTTTCCATTTTTCTTCTTCACCGGAACCACATTCACCAACCACGTGGGATGTTGAATTGGTTTGATAAAGCCGGCTCGCAAAAGCTTCTGTACCTACTCCTTTATTTGCAACTCAAGGTCTGGTCGAAAGCTCCTTTGCACCTGTTTAACCGAGCATTCATCCGGTCGCACATTGAGATGGTGAGCCACTACTTGAGGGTCTAGTCCGGTCATTTCTTCATATGTCCAGGCAAAGACATTTTCGAATTCTTTGAGTAGAGCTACCAGTGCCGCTTTCTCATTTTCTTCTAGCTGCTTGTACACATAGACTACCCGGGAGCGGCCATCATTGGCTAAGTTGACTTCCTCTATTTCATCTTGACTGAGCCAAGCGGATTCGCCTGACTCCAATTTGGCTTCCTTCTCCGAGCTCGGGGATTTTACCTGACAATACTCTACTCGGGGGCGCGGTCTCGCCCGAGATCGTGCCCCCCAACACCATCATAAGCGGTATGTTATTCTCTCATTGGACAAACGTATCCTTTTGCAGACAGCTAGCCTCTTCTGGTTAGTAGCCGACCCTGGCATCCTTCCCTCCTGTTGGTCAATCTCTTCCCATTTCGGTAGAGGAAATGCCCTCAATGGCTGGGATTCCTCTGCATCTTCTAACTCATTGAAGAATCCAGCCTCCACCATATGAGACTCTCTTTTAATAAACGGTCGATCGGAGCAACAGACCATTACTTGCTTCCCGTTCCAGAACCCCTTCATGCATTGGTGATACGAGGATGGCACGATCCCGAACTTATGCATCCATCCTCGACCCATGAGCAAATGGTAAGAGGTGTCCGAATTAATGACATGAAATTTCACCGAACTTTTAAACTTCCCAATGGCCAGCTCGGCCATCACGTGCCCCTCAGTTCTTCGGATATCACTTCCAAACCCAGCGATCTCAGTTGGCCTTCGGATAAGCTTCTCATCTGGGAGACCGCTTCGGCGAAAGACTTCCAGAGGCATGATATTGAAGGACGATCCATTATCCAGAAACGCCCGTTTTAGCTCGACCCCATTGAGCGACGCCGTGACATACAATGGCCTATTGTGTGGAGTATGGACACATTTGTCTTGCTCTGTAAAGACTATAGCTGACCCAGCTGACTTTTGTGATACAGTGAGTGGCGCGATAGACGCTACCTCTTTGACACCCTCCTTCGCCGCCAACCACAGAAACTTTGCTATTTCCTTCTGGGCAAAAGGAGAGAAATCCATCTTTTAGAGAATATTCTTGACAGGGGCCGTTCCCAATAAACGAAACGCATCCAGGTCATGTTCTTCTACCAGCACGACCTGGTCAACATTCTCCCCGACCCCTTCCTTGCTAATTGCCACTTCCGCTACCATCATTGCTTCGCCTCGATCGTGCGCAAGGAAAGGCTCCTCTCTCACATCCCTGGGGTGAAGAATGAGTTCGCCACTAACAATCCGCATCTGGAAAGTATTTCTTAATGCCCAATAGTCATAGGTGGGGTGACGAGTATACCGGTGGTACAAGCAATACTTCGGATTAGCCATCTCCTCTGGTGTGGGCTCGCGGGCCACCTTGGGCAGCCTGATGCCTCCATGTTGGATCCATTTCTTAAGAATAGTCTCTACTTCCTCTGGAGTGCATGGGAACGGCGGAGGAGCCTCGTCCGGATTCTTCGAGCGGGGAGTACGGGCTGGTCTTGCGCCCCTCTTGTTAGGAGACTCGTCCGCAGCTGAAACTTAAGGTCTACGCCTACCTCGATATTCTTCCTGTGTAGCGGCCTGTGCACAAATAGCGAGGTTACTTGCCAAATTTCGGGATGCCTCTATCAGGTCGGCGAAAGTGATGAGTTTGAGGTTAATGAGATGGATTCGGTAAGATCCTTGCATGCCTTGTATGCAAATCTTAGCCAACGCTTCCTCTTTATGAGTCTCATAGCATTCCATGGCTCGATCATGAAATCTATGGACGTAAGTAAGCAGATCCTCTCCCGGGCCTTAAGTCTCTTTAGTCAAGGAAAGTGTAGTCACCCTTTCCTCTGCTGAAAGAACTTCGACTGGAAAATCGTGGCTAATTGGTTCCAGGTAGTGAGCGACCCGGACTCCAAATTCACATACCATTTGTAGGCCCTATCCGTGAAAGTTTTTGAAAACTCCCTAAGACGCAGGGTATGATCGTTTCCGAAGGGCCCTAGAGCCTTAATAAACCGTACCACGTGCTCTAGGGGGTTCCCCTTCTTTCCATCAAACTTGCTAAACTTGGGGGTTAGGTACCCTGAGGGGTAAGGGAGAAACGCGATGGATTGCGCGTAGGGTGGTTCGGGGGCTACCTCCTGCATCAGTATATTCTTTTCGTTTCGCAGCAGTGTTTGCAGGTCCGCCATAGTTACATATGGCGATCGCTGCATGGGGTCCTGCTGATGTCCAAATCCTTCCGAGCCCGTGTCTCTATGACAAGCCTCTCTCCGACTGGTACTCAGCATACTCAACCTTGCAGGCGCTGTAAGAGGAGTACTAAAAAGGGTTCGACGAGCCCGCGGCGGTGTATCCCGCGTTCGCCTGTGTCAACCAGTGGCCCGCCTTGCCTCGGCTGACGACAAGAACGTCTGTCGCGCCGGATTGTCTGGGGTTGCAAGTTCACCAGAGAGAGTATCATTCGGATCTGCGCCTTGCCGCAATGCTCCTTGGTCAGCAATTTGTCGCAGCAGGGTCATTACTTCCCTCTGAGTGCCTTCTAGCTGCTCCATTCTATGCGACAGTGCGTTATGGGCTTCGACTAGCGCATCAGGATAGATAATCCTGGTTCCAGGGAAGTACGATCCCGGCATACTTACAGACCCATCGTAGCCCTCGCCCAAGGCAGGGCTGGTTTGAGAGGGCGGACTGATCTCTCGTATGCTTTACATAGGTGAAGTGCTCCTCCCTAGTGAAGTCGCCAAAATGTTGATGGTAGTTCGTGAGTAGGATAAGGAGATCGTTCCACGTAAGCCAAGAGATCTGAGATCAGTATCCAAGTGGAGATCCAAGCAACACAAGGGATTCTCTAGGTATGGAGATTAAGAAAGGGAAGGCCGACCTCGGTACCATGCAAACTCGAGCTTGTCAGAGGATAATTGTTAATGTGGTGGTTGATGTCCTTTAAGGCTGATTAACACCCCTATTTATAGCGTTTACCTCCTCGGTCAATGCCTTTTAGTCCTTTAGCTGAGCCCGCTCTTATCCAAAGGTCCGATGGCCTCTTCTTCTGACAGATGAGACGCTGATGGATGGGTCGCGGCACTTTGCCCCCAGGTCAAAGGAGGTAACGGCGCTCCCTAATTAATGAGAGTCTTATCAAATGTCTTTCGCAATTAATGTGTTTCTTATCCTTCATCGCTCGAGCTTAGGTACCGGGTATCCTTTCCCCCTTATGCTAGCCTCGGACTGAGGCAACCCCTTAGATCTCAGCTACCTATCCACATGTCCTCAGATTCCCGTGCTTCGGTAGGGATAGGCCCCCTTTCGAGGTCCTGCCTTCATGACCTCGCGGGTTCCGATCCCAGTTCTATCCCGAGGTCTTCTTTGCCAAGAAAGGAAATGTGTAAACAGGTAAGTCGAGGTTGCTCTTTCAGAGAGTACCCTCGAGCGAGCCAAGGGGGGAGGAGCCCATCCGACTGGAGCGAGACGCGTCCACAGTAGAGGAAGGGTAACGACCCCTCCTTCGGCCAGTGAGTTCCGTTATTGGATAGGTAGCTCGAGAATACCTAATCCACCGTGGGCACGCCAAGTCAGCACTGGCCAGTTGTGCCTATGTTGCAGAGGTGGCGCCACTTAGTCAGCAATCGTGGCGCGGTCATCAACACCTAGCTACCCTTCTTTTTCTCCCATCCCTTTTTTGAATAAGACAATTCTACAGGCCATTGTCTCTCATTCCCCAATATATATATATATGTGTGTATGTGTATTCTCACGTCGCACAGGTTTGACTCCCTTCTCAACTTCTTCCTCTCTGGCTCTCTTCATTATTCACTACTTCACACAAAAGAAATCATGTGCAATAGCTCAGTCGAAGCAACCGAGAGTCTGCAGAAGAAGAGTTCATGCGTGTTCGATCGGTGTTCAGGCTGTGTCCATTCAGTGTTCGGTAAAAAAAATGATTGACCGTTGATGGGAAATTATATATATAGTTAAAATTTCTGAGCGTATTGTAGACTTTCTTATGACAGATGGTGATCAATAGTTGCCATTCACCATATATTACACCTATTGCAATGTTGATGAAAATTTTACTCACTATCGCCTTCTACTAAAAACTTAAAAGAAATAAAAAATACAAAATAAAACTTCCTTTGGTTATCTATTTTTTCTCTTCCCATCCTTCTTCATCACACATTAAAACAAGTACATGTTATATATATATATATATATATATATATATATATATATATATATATATGGGTGCACAATGGTGGCCATACTAGTGGCCTTACAAGTAACTTGCATCTTGAT